TTTATTTCTAGGACATTGCCTTAAATGTTTACATGACCAGCTATGACTGATCAAGTGTCTCTTGGTTGTAAAAATATGTCGGCTCCATAGCTTCAGAGACTGAGAGCTTATGTGTCTAGTAGCAAAGTTATGTAGATGTTTATAAAATGTTACTCATTCTGGTGGAAGTTGACCATAGAGTTGCCCTGGAGTATGAGAGATTGCTAGAGAAGTGTTTTCTCGAGTTTAAAAAGTAGTTTTTTATTTGCCATTTTCTCATTTTCAAGTGGGTTCTACACCTAATTTTGTGGAGGGCCTGCTGAATTTGTGAAATACAGAAAGTAATAGAGCACATAGTTTACATGTCAAAAATCCCAGGTTTAATTCATTTAACTGGGAGGCGATAGGTATTTTAATCCCAACATATCTGGAGAATCCACATTTTGGAATGCCTGTAGAAAAGTTTAAAAACTAGAGTAGTCAGTGGTTTGGCTTGGTTTGAGGCAGATTCTCTTTTTTAAAAATCACATTCTGTAATTGAAACAATAGATCTAGTGTAATTGGGGCTAAGAGTATGTGTTCCTACACAGCAGAGAGTTAGATTGGATGAACCTTGTGGTCTCTTCCAACTCTATAGTTCTATGATACCATTTTAATTGTCATAGGTCATCCTTACAAAGTTTTAGGACTTGTAGTTAGATAGATACAGGTACTTAGATTTCAATGCCAGAAAGGTCTAGTTTGCAGTTCAACACTCTCGTAGAAAATTCCAGTTATCTTCCAGCTGGAAATCCCAGGATTCCACTGCAGGAGACCATGGCAATTAAACTTCCCTCAAATGGCTGTAATTATGCAGTATAGGTAAACTTGAGGACAGAAGACTTTTGTCTTCTATTTTTGTTGTGCTTTAGAGTAAAAGACTATTATTCTTTGAGTCTGATTCAACAATAAAAATGTTTGTGTTTAAAATGAGTAGATTAAATGTACAGTTATTTGTTTAATCATAAAAGCCATCAGCAGGAATAGTTCCCTTTTGAGCTCTTTACAGGCCATATTTTATTCCTCTTTTTATAAAGCATCACATTAACTAAGGTTAGATTTAAATGTATATCAACTGCATGTCATAATTAAATCTTGGGATAATGTGGATCATTAATGGAACACAGTCATAGTAAAATGGGTTTAACCTTAATGTGAAATAGCTTAATACTGGAGAGCACTTAATACAACTCTAAACACATTGTCCATAGATACGTTTTTAGTGAAATACAATAGGACTGCTTCTCGCTGGTGTATTCATAAAATGTTCAAGTGCATTTGATGGGGAGAACAGTTTGATAAAATTAAAAGCAAGCTTTTAAATTACAGTTAAGAGCCATAATTTTTTAATGAAAACTATTTGTAGATCATTTCTCAAAATGAAGTTTTAAAATAGAGAAACTTTATATATTATGGGTTATTTTGAACATAATTGTACATAAGTCCCTTGACTTAGTTATTTTCAAAGATCAAAGATGAAAAATTTAGTTTTGAATATTTCTAAATTTTGCAGGGCAAACATACACATGCTTACTCAGATGTAAGGCAATTGCACTCGGTGGGGCTTACTCCCTAGTATTTATGTTTAAGGTTGCAGTTTTTATTATGCAAGCGACTTTATAGGAATTTCTATGTAACCAAAACTGCATTTCAAAGAAAAATTATTGACCAGAAAGGAAAAGATAATGTATAAACCATTCAGCAGTTCATTCAGTGGGTCATCTGTATTTGAGAAAGCAATGAAGCATAAGTCCCAAATTTTCCTTCCATATTTCTAAAGTGGCACACACTTACTGATGTTAAGTCTAAAATTAAAGACTTCAGTCTTCAGATCTATGAATTTAAATGTTTTTAACTTATTTAGTAGCAATAGGTGCTACATAAATTGGTTTGCTGTTGTTTTGAGATTTATATTGACTATGCTTTCTCTAGCTTGTCCATTATATTGCTTTGAATCCTATTTTGGGAGAGGGCAGTACTTCAATCAAACAAATTTAGAATATTTAGAACATTCGCCTCTGGTACATGGACAAAATCTTTCCATTGCCTTTCTGTTAGAGTTCCTCCATGGTACTTAGCAGTGCACAGAAAGAATGACTTTTGCCTGAATGTCACTGCAGGAGGTGTGCCTTTGTTCTCTGGTATGTGCTTATATCACTTTCCCCTAAAAGATATTCTTAATACCTGTACATAAAATGCCTGAATTGAGTTTATAATTGTAGCTTGAGGTGAAAGCAATTTGGTCCAGTGTATCTGAAACTTGGCCTATTGCAGTTATGACTCTTCTTAGATGTTATATTACACAGATTGTATCTAGTTTTGTTTCTTCTTTCCACCAAACCCACATGTAACACTACAGTTCTTGAATACAAGCCTGCAGTTAGTGGTGGGTTGGCTGATGGTGTATAAACTTGAGTTTAGTTACGGTAATAAAATTTTTAATGACTGGAAATCCATGATTGCAGATGTCCCAGTTTTAGATAGGATAACATTATTCTTGTAAGAGCTGGATTTACCATGCAAATATGTTGGGCGAGTGGATTAATTAACAAAAGATCCTCTTCATAAATGTACAGCAGAGTAACTTATTAGCAGCAGTGTGGCCCAACACCAGTAGACCAATTGGGCACCACAATTCAAGAGAGATATTGACAAGCTGGAATGTGTCCAGAGGAGAGCGACTAAAATGATCAAGGGTCTGGAGAACAAGCCCTATGAGGAGCGGCTTAAGGAGCTGGGCATGTTTAGCCTGAAGAAGAGAAGGCTGAGAGGAGATATGATAGCCATGTATAAATATGTGAGAGGAAGCCACAGGGAGGAGGGAGCAAGCTTGTTTTCTGCTTCCCTGGAGACTAGGACGCGGAACAATGGCTTCAAACTACTAGAGAGGAGATTCCATCTGAACATGAGGAAGAACTTCCTGACGGTGAGAGCCATTCAGCAGTGGAACTCTCTGCCCCGGAGTGTGGTGGAGGCTCCTTCTTTGGAAGCTTTTAAACAGAGGCTGGATGGCCATCTGTCAGGGGTGATTTGAATGCAATATTCCTGCTTCTTGGCAGGGGTTGGACTGGATGGCCCATGAGGTCTCTTCCAACTCTTTGATTCTATGATAAAGAGAAGGAAAAACACACAGACCAATGCTATCTCTTCCACAGGAGGCTTTTATTGATAGCAAAATAATATGCTTGCACTATTTACAAGAACAAGGTTTCCATGACACGAACAAAAATCTTTACACTTCCTTCTTTACTTCCACACTGGGCTTCTTTCTCAAACAGACAAAGAGCTTCACTGTCACAGAGCCTTTTCTCACACCAGAGTTACACAGGAGCTTTTTACACACAGCAGCCTTCACACTGGATCTTTACACATGATGGCCTTCAACCTGAGGTTTCCTCTCACAGCAGTGTCACACACTGAGGCCTACTAACATAGAGGCCTACCTCACACTGAGGGCTTTCTCACACTGATGCGTCTCTCACATTGAGGCAAACTAACACTGAGGCCTTCTCATACTGAGGGCTACTGAGACCCTTCTTCACAGATCTCTCTTACATACTGAGGGGAACTAACATTGAGGCCTCTCTCAGACTGAGAGCTACTGAGCTACAAGCACACCTGCTTATATTGAACTGCAGCTTTTGTGGAGTCATTGCATCCATTTAACCATTTCAATGCTTGACTCACAGTTTGTAATTAAAAATACCTAGTTAATATTTACAGTAAATGAAGCATTTAAAAATATTTAATGTTTCTGACAAAATATGCTATTGTACCCCAGTGGTTCTCAACCTGTGGGTCCCCAGATGTTTTGGCCTTCAACTCCCAGAAATCCTAACAGCTTGTAAACTGGCTGGGATCTCCTAGGAGTTGTACGCCAAAACACCTGGGGACCCACAGGCTGAGAACCACTACTGTACCCAGTGCAATTCTTGGATTCCAGCTGTAGCTTGGAGAACTTTGTAGGTAACTTCATTTATGTGCTGACTCTGTCTGCTTCTGAAAGACAAAATGCATTCATCCATTCTTGAATGATGCCCTAAATTTTGTGTGGGGCGGGATTTAAAGGTATTTAGAAACTTTAGCTAGCCCTAAAGTAGCATGCATGCTTTTTATGCAAAAAGTCCCAGATTCAATTCCTAGCGCCTCCAGTTAAAAGAACTAGGTAACAGAGATGAAAAAGATCTTGGGTCACAAGGCTTAGGGAATGGCTGCCAGTCATAGTAGGAAATATTGAGCTAGGTAGACAATTAAACTAACCTCTGATGCAAGACAGCTTCCTGAATTCCTGTTTCACTAGATACTGCTCACAAATTTTCAAAATGGTCATTGAGACTGTAATGATAAAATATTTTCAGGATGTGCCAGGTTCTGTGCTACATATCAAATTCTTAATTTCGAATCTGAAATCAAAAACATAAGCCTTATAGAGACTGTTAGAGATTTAATATGAAAACTCATCTTGTTATACAGAATTAATTTGGAGGGTAAGATAGTGTTTACAATAATTTTCAATAAATATGAAAATAATTTGCATTTTAAAACGTTTTTTAATAAAATGGAAGAATACTTTACCCGTGTGGTTAAGTTTAGCTGTGTGGCATCCTTATAATTCTATTATAGTTGTGACTGTGATAATTAAACATTGGATTGAGAGAATGCTAGTGTGGATGTCTGGGTTCATAGCTAGACATATTTTTTGTGTTATCTTTACAGTAAATGAAGCATTTTTTTAAAAAAAATGTATGTCTGTGAATTCCATTACTCTTGAGGATCAGATGAAAAGCATGTACTTCCAACAGTACAATTAAACCTTTTGTCCCTTTCTCCAGGAAATAAGATAAATAGTCCTTTATTGAGAATAGTTAACAATGTGTGCAGCAAATCCTGTACTTTGCTTAGATTAGTTAGAAAATGATTTTAAGACTATATTTCTTCAGTTATGTTTAAGCCACTGATTTAATTTTCTCTTTCTTTTCTAGACAAAATGTTCAGCTGTTAATTGGCAGCTTTCTTCCTGTGAACTGTTGCCAGTGTCCTCGTGCTGTAAAACCTGAATTCCATGACCTACACATGCTTTGGTGCTCTGCTTCCCAAAGGAAGTCATGTGTTAGCTATTTTCGACCATTCGTTTTGTTCCAGAGGAATTACTGCATTGGTATTCTGGGATACAAGGTGCTCAATGAATCGGGAGCCCCCATGAATGAAACAGCCAGCTCTTGCCAGCAGATGGCTAAAAACTGCACCACACACATAGCAGGGATGGCACAAGAGGAGAGAGGTCAAGGGCCACCTCCTTTTTATCATGCTGCCACCCAGGAACTTGACTTGTCCACCAAAGTATACAAAAGGGAGTCTGGAAGTCCATACTCCGTACTGGTGGACCCGAAAGCAAGTAAGCCACATCTCCATGAACGAGAAGAGCAGCCATATTTCAGGGAGGACAGAACAGTAGGAGAAGTTCGAGCCGTGAAAGAAGACAGGGAGAACTCTGACGACTTGCAGGAGGAGGATGAAGAGGAAGATGAAGTGACTTACAAAAGGGAGCAGATAATAGTAGAGGTAAACCTTAACAACCAAACATTAAATGTATCAAAAGGGGAGAAGGGGGTCCCCTCCCAATCCAAAGAAACTGCTGTTCTTAAGACCAGCAGTGAGGAAGAGGAGGGTGACAGTGGGGAGGAAGAGGCCACTGAAGACAGTAATGATGAGGAGGAAAATGAGAGGCAGAAGAAAACAGAGCAAAGAGAGGAAAATGATAGTGTTGCACAAAGGAGGACAAGGAGAGCTGCATCTGCTGCAGCCACCACAACTTCCCCTACTTCCAGAACTACAAGGGGCCGTAGAAAGAGCGTTGATCTTCCCAAGCGTAAGAAGAAAGCTGCAAAGGAGCCCAAGGCACCTGTGCAGAAATCAAAGTGTGAAGAAAAGGAGACTTTGACCTGTGAGAAGTGTCCCAGGGTGTTTAACACACGCTGGTATCTGGAGAAGCACATGAACGTCACTCATAGGCGTATGCAGATCTGCGACAAGTGTGGGAAGAAATTTGTTCTAGAAAGTGAGCTCTCCCTTCACCAGCAAACAGACTGTGAAAAAAACATTCAGGTAGGTTCTCTTGCCTGCTTGCAAGATTTCCCTGCCTCTGCTGTCCCCTGGACATTTGAAAGGGTGGAAATCATTTGAGAAGAACAAAGTTCCAGGCCTTTCTGCTTCTACCAACATTTTCTTTTGCACATTAAAGGAAATCAATATTTCTGAATGGGGGAGGGGGAGGAAACAATAGCTGAGGTACAGGATTTTTCTATACAACATCACAGTGCAAATAGCACATTGAGAGCTAAGAATGTGTGTTTTTTTTTAGCACTGGTTAGCATACACAGGTGATTTCTGAATAATATAAATGTAACTTTGAGTTTGTCATGTGTTAGGGAGAAAAATGGGTTCAAGTATGATTTCACCCATTTTTTTTATACATGGATTTTACTTACATGTAAGAAAGCTGCAAAGGATACTGTAATGCATAACAAATGAGTATGTGTCATAACCACTCATATATGGAATAGGTAATTGCAGATTATTTCTGAGGTGTACGTTGTGAAATATGTTTGTATCCATATTACAAAACTGTGCAGTGATTCATCAAGTGTGAAATTTTTCTGGGTGACATGAGAAGAGGCAGATTAATGTGGAAGTTAGATCCTCAGTTCCAACTACAGGAAGATAAGAAAAGGCCTATTTATTTATTTATGACATTTATAGGGGACTCAGAGTGGCTTACAAGTTACCTATGAAGCCTGGATAGGATTTCTTTCTCTCTTTTTCCTTCAAATGCCTCTGGTTTTTTACTTTTTCAGAACTGTGAGAAGCAAAATTGTACTATCACTCAAGCTCTGTTTGTGTGGGTTGAGAGCTCAAATACTCTAAATGGTGAGCAGTGGTGTTAACTGTCCATTCCCTAAGCCTTAAGGAATACATCATGATGACAAAGCATATATTTATTCTTTCAAGATAACTGGCGAAATCTGTGAACAATGACAATAAAAGGTCTTTTGACATCTTAAAGATTAGCACAGTTTATCATAACATATGTTTTTGAGGACTGATCATCTCTTCAGTAGAATAATGAAGTATTACCTCTATTGGCAGATACATATTCTCTACGGGATTGTAATCAGTGTGTTCAGTGGGAACTTACATGCAAAAAACACTGATAATTTTCATAACAATGACTATTAACCAACAGTATTTCACTGCTTTTACATATATCCTTATGTAGTTGAGTTGAGGTAGTGTAGTAAAAAGACTGTATTCTTATTCAAGCCTTAAGATAGTGTAAACAACTACTCACAAATAGCAACAGACATCCAGTACAGATGACCAACACAGAACACTGATTCTGTTGCAGACCTAGATGTCAATTGTGTTTTCTGTCTCGGCTTTGGCAACTCTTTTACAGGGTATAATGTTCTCCAGAACATTACAGTTGGTATAGTAGCTAATTTTTCAGTGTTATTGTATATACTCTAGTATAAGCCAACCCAAATATAAGCCGAAGCACCTAATTTTACTACAAAAAAACTGGGAAAACTTATTAACTCAAGTATAAGCCTAGGATGGGAAATACAGCAGCTATTGGTAAATTTTAAAATAAAAATAGATACCAATAAAATTACATTAATTGAGGCATCAGTGCAGAGTTAGATATAGATCTATAATTACATATACTAATTTCATATATGTATTTCTCGCAAAACGTTAGCAAGTCCTCTCTCTCTCTCTCTATATATATATATATATGCATTTCCCTTCTGCAGCATTTGCAAGCCCTATGTATCTATGTTTATATTTATCTAGACATCTCTATATATGTGTGTATGTGCATTTCCCCTGCAATATTTGCAATCCCTATATATCTATATTCATATCTTTCTATACATGTCTATATATATTGGTGTGTGCATTTCCCCCCATAATATTATATATCTATATTCATATATATCCATCTAGACATCTCTCTATATATAGATAATTATATCTATGTAAGATTTACAAAGACTTGCAAACATGTGAGGGGAAAATTCATATATAAAATTATTTATATACATACACATATACATACACACAGAGATATTCAGATAAATAGGTTTCACTATGTATTTATTGATTTTATATATGTGTGTGTGTGTGTATGTGTGTGTATATATATATATATATATATATATATATATAGTATTTGTAGAGACTTGCAAACATGTGAGGGAAAATTCATATATAAAAAGAATGTATACATATAGATACATATACAAAGGAACATGGATCCCTGGCTCATTAATCCACCCATGTAATGACAAAATACACAAATCTTTAAGGTATTGCAAGATTCTTCACTGCTAATTTGTATTTATTTTGCAACTGAGTAATGTGGCAATCTGTGATAATTTAAAATGCAGTGTTGATAATAGCACACACATCTTGATAATGCTAAGATGATTATTATATTATATATAATATAATATATTCCCTGCCTCTGCTGTCCCCTGGACATTTGAAAGGATGGAAATCCTTTGAGAAGAACAAGGTTCCAGCCTTTCTGCTTCTATCAACATTTTCTTTTGCACATTAAAACTTATTGACTCAAATATAATACTATATATTATAGTATCACAAGAACTGCCTATTGAAAGCACAATATAAGCCATGCACTACTTATTATTATTATTATCATCATCATCATCATCTTGCCTGCCTGTCCTCATGGCTTGAGATTGGTTACAACACACATTTGCCTAAAAACATTCTTTAAAATAAACATATTAAAACATATTTCCACAAGATACATATTAAAATACACAAAACAGGGATTAAACATAAGATGCAAGTTTAAAATTCATTATTAAAACTTTCTGGGTAGGCCTTAAGTCACTTATGTCTTAAATTCCGACGCCTGATATAGCTGTCAGAACTGTGTCGTTCCACAGTCTTGGAGCGGCCAATGAAAAGGTCCTCTTGGTGATGGTTGTCAGACTGGAGCAGACACCCTCCAGAGGACCTCAGTGTTTGGGGTGTATTGTTCGGGAGAAGGCGATCCTGTAGGTAACCTGGAAGTCCATATTCTTGATGAATTGTAATTCAATGAATTTGTGTCATAGTCTTAGTGTAAAGTTTCTTCATTCAAAAACATCTCTCTTATAGTCAGTATACTACAATGTTCTGCTAAAGTTCTGTTATTGTGTTAATTTATGGCAGTTTTCACAAGACTTCATTGATTATGCTGTTCTGTTGGTGAAATGCCTCTCTTTTAACCTTTATGTGCTGTGACATGAAAACCCTACCATAGTATTGCCTTAGGTTAGAGTTAAGATAAAGGCACACAACAGTTACTAGGATAAGGTTGATTGTTAAAGTTGTGGGCAATTTTCTGATCCCAGTGAGAATTCCAGTGCACCACATACAGAGTGTTAAATGTCCAAAGATGTTATGTACAGAACCAATTTTGTTTTACCCAGACACTCAGAGCCAAAGAAATGAGGTGGGATCAAAATATGATGAAATGAAATCGAACACACACACACATTGTATTGTGAAGTGTTCCCTGAGTCCAGTGACTCCCATTGTCCCTTGAATAATAGAAATTATGATTTTCTCTCAACAAGGCCAACCAGAGAACATCAGTTCGGCATCATGACTGAAAACAAGGGTAATTTTTACTAAAGTGTTCTACATTGGCTCTAACACTAGACATAAAACAGAAAAAAGTCTGTCCCATGTGTGCTTTTTTTTAAAGGGAAATGACAAGTGCATGGAACTTGGGGACATGGTGTGCAATTTACAAAATACAATCTTGTATATTTTGGGCTTGCTTCTGTATACATTATTTTAAAAATGTGCATCTTTATGTGATCAAAATTTTATTTATTTATTTAAAACTTTTATATCCCGATCTTCTCACCTCCATAGAGGGACTCAGACCGGCTTACAGTAAGGATTCAATACTACTAATACAAATTAAAACATCATACAACAATACAAGATTAAAATACATATAGATAAAATACATATAAGCCAAAACGCAAGATGAAATCATGTTCAACTCAGTCTGCATATGTAGTTACTTTGGTCTGTAACCAGTCTCAGCCGTTATTCTGGGAATGGGATATCCATGTTATGTATACTACAATCTACCAAGGCCTACTCTGCTTCCTTTTTAATACTCCGTTTTGTTTTTTGTTTGTTTGTTTGTTTGTTTTGTCATGCTACCATAAAGCCACAACTGATGCACTTATTCAAGTGTGGCTCTTAGCACCTCTATATTTAAGACACAGCTTTGTCAGCCAGAATAAAAATAATATAAAAGCTTTATTTTCATATAACAAAAATGCTTCCATTGCAGTCAATCAAATTTGCACTTAGTGGTATTGCCTTAAACGTCTAAGTAATTATGATTCAGTTGCCTTTTGGTATGTAAGATGGTTTGGACTTTATTTTTTTAGAGATATTTTACCAGAGCTAATAAGAAAGTGTTTTAAATCTTGGGGGCCCTTAGAAAGCAATTCCAGCAAGAAGTTATGCAGTTTTCATCTAGGCTTGTAGAAGTAATGAAGTTTCGAACAGCATCTATGATAAAAAAAAGACACAGATTTATGGATGAACATAAAAGAGGTGGTGGTATTCCATAGGTGGGTTGGCAAGCAACTTTCTACTCTGAACCCAAGGAATCCAGTATTATGGAGCTAAGTATCAGGATTAGTTTAGATTTATACTTTATCAAAGATTATAAAATGATAGGGGAACCTTCAAATATTTCTGCAGTTGATGGCCACAGCTTTTGCTTGTTAAGGAGTCTCTGGTAGTTAAGATGCTGAAGACTTACATCTAGTATTCTTCATATTATGACTAAATACCAACATAAAAAAACCTCTTTTTTTGTCAGGAATACCGCACAGTTACAATAGCTTTGTAGTTGCTGTGTTTCATGTACTCAATTGACTCTTGTAGTGGAGTGTTTGCTAAATCTTCCAAGGGCTCTTCTGCTGTTCCACATTCTGATATTGAGCCTACCCTATAAACTAAAAGTAGCTGTTCTGATATTCATGTGAGTCAGATTAGCTGCTGCTTCTCTTTACCATTTTAGATTTCTTATTATTATGCCTCTATCTCATCTTGGAATATTTTCTCGTTGGAACAGGAACTCATTTTCTTCTATAGACACCCAGTTTGGATGGGAAAGAGCAAGCAAGTAAATTAAATGAGAATTCCAAATGGACCACACTAATCTGGATTATGTAGCAGGCTAATCAGTTTGAATGCTCTATCCCCAGTGCCAGAGGCTGGATTAAAACCATCAGGGCTCTTATTGCATATTTTTATAATATTTGTTTTTATGTTTTAAATTGATTTACTGAATGATTAGTGCTTTTCTGTATATTTTATGTATGCAGTTGATACAAGTTATAAAATTCCACTTCTCTAATTCTTGGCTTATAATTTTAATGTTTGAGCATTAAACATTAGATATTAGGGATTGTGTTAAGGATTATTTGTGATTATTCCCATTTCAAATTTGTGTATGTTACCCAAGAGTCGAAGTAAATTGTCTCATTGTATCTTGGCTTGAATTAAGTTTGTTATTTTCAGTGTTATGTTGTGTCCAGTGATGGTATTCTGCAGACAGAACAAAGACTACTGGTGGTTCAAGTGTAGAGTTTCCTGCAAGCTCTGTACTTTATGCCACTAATCTTCTCCACAGGATTTGGGGATCCTTTATAGCAGATTTTGGGAGTTGCAAGCAGTAAGAGGGCATGAGACATTATAGTTGAGCAAGTCGAACTCTGTTGATTTGAAATATTGGAATCCACCTCTTTCAGCTGATTTTTGAGACACTTTGGATCTATTATAACTTAGAAAGTACAATATAAATCATTAAATAAATAATTACCTAACTATTAGTTGATGAAAAACAAAATTATCTCCTTTTACTAACTTAAAATTGGTATTATTATTGCCTTTGCTTAGGTCAGTCTTTTGTAAATCCTTTTAAAAACAGCCTTTGGATAGCTGCCTTGCTTCCACCCCAGCTCAGTTCCTGCCTAAACTACAAGGTTTTTCTGAAGTGAATAAGAACCTTGAATGTGCTTCACTCTAAATAATGTGGTGGTGGTGGTGGTGGTGTTGTTAGATACCTCACTTTTTCTCTCCACAAAGGAAAATTAAAGTGGCTTCTGTTTTCATGATACATAACATTATAAACTTCCAAAGAACAGTACTTGAATGCAAATCTGCTGACTTATTTCAAAATTAAAATATTGCAAAGTGGCTTTAGTCACAAAAAGGATTTGGCTTATGGGTTTTACTGAATTTTTCTGTAACAACAGAGCTAGCTGCCTTCTTCCATCTAAACCAAATGGAGTGGAGTGAACTACTGTATACCACACAGGTTCTTGAAGTCTCATGTTCTTCTCTTGAGGAATCAGTAGGTGGCATCCTAAGTCCAGCAGCATACACTCCTTTGATCTAAGCTAGTATCTTTTCATTTCAGCAACTCTTAGGAAATTGCAGTGAGTGGCATTTTGTTAGTTTGCTCTGAAATAATGCATCCAAGATTGTGTTCATTTTTCATATATATGTTTTCTTCATTTCGACTATAGTTGTCTTGAAGTATCAGAATTGAGCCCTGTTTAAATTATGCCTTTTTGTCCCATCCATCCATTTAGTGTGTCACTTGTAGTAAATCATTCAAGAAGCTGTGGTCCCTTCATGAGCATATCAAGATTGTCCATGGATATGCAGAGAAAAAATTCTCCTGCGAGATATGTGAAAAGAAGTTCTACACCATGGCTCACGTGCGAAAGCACATGGTTGGTGAGTTCTTGCTGCCTGTTTTTTCACAACATGGTATCTCTGTTCCACCCTTCTAAGGCTGTTCCAAGTTTCACTCTTGATTACAAGTGCCTCCTGAGTTGTAAGGTTTCTCTCCAGTTCTATGCCCTTATTGATTCTGATCAACCATTACATCACTGTTTGAACCCAAGTTCCAAAATCAGAGTAAATGCCTGCATCAGCTGAATGTCCACGTGGCAAGAGGGCAGACAAGTAGATCTTGGCATTCTTTTCACATTTTAAATACCAGACTACACTCCCCCTCCTCACATATTTCACTATCTTATAAGAACTGCCAAATGCAAGAATATGGGGGCAATGTAATGTGAAAGCTACAAATGCAGCTTGAAATAAGGTAGGTGGTGCTCCAGATTGTGTACACTGAAATAATATTGTGCCTTGATTCAGCTTTCTGTGCGGTTCTTCCTTTTTAAAAATTAAATAAAGATGTCTGTCATCAAAAGATGCATCTAATTATAGCTTTAAAATGAGTTGGCAGGTTGTTTGCCTAACTTTTTTACCTCTGGACCTAAGATCCACAGGCAGAGACAACAAGAGTTATCCTACTGATAATGGTCTGACAGAATTATGCTCAGTGTAATTTGGGGGGGGGGGGGGGGAGAGATATTTGTTTGCTTTAAATAGCTAGATTTGAACTATAGAAGCTATGTTGCCCTGCTTAATAGTGTCTCTTATATTAAGATACCCTTGATGCTTGGCTGAAACCATTGTTTTAACCCAGTAAAATGAAATGTTTGACCTTAGAGGTGGGATTTAAAACAGGTTGGGTTACTAGTAAAAATCCGTTTTCCTCTTTGATAGTAAGAAGTTGAGATATTTAGTTCTTTGGGTTTTTGCAATAGTTTAGCAGCAGAAAAGAAGGATTTCTTGTAGTCAAATTGATAAGCCATAGGTTCTATGGTAAGATTACATTGCCAAAATAACTGTAACTGGATTATTTACAGTAGAGATAATAAAGGGGACGGTGGGGGACAGGCTCACATAAACAGAACAAGTAAAACATGCACCAAATGGAATCAGGGCAATAAACAGACTATCACATTCTTTAGAGATGCAAAGAACTCTAAACACAAACAAGGAAACAAGCTCAGAAATTACCTTCTTTAAAGATGCAAAGGACTCTGTGTGGTTCAGGGAACTCACACAAGCAGGCAATAAACCTTAGACTGTATATTTATTTATAATCGAATTTGCTTTCCTGAACGTTTTGATGGGTGTCCGACCGGATGGACCATGTGCAGGATGAAACAGGATGAAAGGGAGAGGGGGCGTGGGAACAAGGATGTCTGTGAAGTGAATTGTACCTGCAAACACTATAAGAACCCATGTAAGATTTCATTCAGTGTGCCGTCTTTTCAGGACTGTCACCCGCAGCTTATTTGCAAATCTGTGGGGTTTTTTTCCCTATCTCATCTGCCTCCTAGTTATTTATTTGCAAAACCGGGACTAGGTTTTTTTTTTTGGGGGGGGGGGGGGGGTTTGCCTTCTTGAAGAGGGGCATCCCATCTGGCCCCAACAGTAAGAAACCTTAAGTCTTCTAAATGTTGATGAACTACTGGTCGTGCTTCACAATTGATCAGACTGGGAATTGGGAGATTTGGAAAACCATAGATTCCCCCTACTCTAATCTTGTTTGTTTCCTTTTGAAAGGCACAATAGTAGGCTTTTAAGTTTTTTGGTTGTGATATTTTATTGCCCTGCTCCTTCATTTATATTTCAATGAATTCATATTTATGTTTTGTTATATATGAACCTGGGGATGATTTTGGCTGGAAGGTGCAATAGATATTTATTATATCAACTCAAAACATTAGTTAGATGTTAATACTTTTTGGAGAATCCTGCCTCAGTATCCCTTACAATCTCCTCCTTTGATTCACTATATACAAATATATAAAAATTTCCATAATTTGATGTTTCAGCACATACAAAGGACATGCCATTTACATGTGAAACCTGTGGAAAATCCTTCAAGCGTAGTATGTCATTGAAGGTTCACTCCCTGCAGCATTCTGGAGAGAAGCCTTTTCGATGTGAGGTATGAACTCAATTAATTCAATGTTGCATTAAGAATTACTTTGACTTTGAAAACCATATGGTCATGAATGGTTCTTGAGACTGGTTACATCGCAAAGGCCTTTCTAGTCCTGTGTTCCCATTACATAGTATCTAGCTAGTACTTCTTGAGAGACCCACAAGCAAGATGTAAGTACAGTGACACTCTGCACCCTGCTTCTGGTGACTATTTGCTTCATGGTGGCTGTTTAACTCTTTGTAAGGCTATGAATTATACCCACCCCCACAGATGAACAAAAATGGAAGGGAGCAGGAGTTTGTTAAAGTTTGCTTTGTTCAGCTGATTGACTGTTGGTGCTATTTCTTCGTGAATCTTTAGTCACTATATTGCAAATTTTGACTGCATCCTCTTTTAGTGTAAGTAACAGAACAAAATTTGAGTATGAATGTACAGGGCAAGAAATACTCAAGCTCATGGTAGTGTGAATCTTTTGTCATTGCTTTGTCATCTATCGCAGTGATTTTTAAACTCTGGTACTCCAGATGTTTTGGACTGCAACTCTCAGAAGCCACAGCTGCCTTGGTAATTATTAGGGATTATGTGAGTTGAAGTCCAAAACACACAGAAGACCAAAGTTTGAGAAACATTGATCCATAGCAATGAAAGGTTGGCCCTGGGAAACAATATGCTCCTCTTTCCACACATACCTTCCTATTGTACTTAAATTTGATGGATGCAAAATGTCAGTATTAGACATGATCTAATTCTTCTACAAATTCTTTGTAAAACTTACATCTTGGGTGTTGGAACTTGAAATAAAATAGAACATTTTTCCTCTTCATTTTCTGCTTTGTGCCAAAGCCATTTGAGATTTCAGCGCCTTGCCTTGAGGTCCATAAATCTGAAAAATAGGTATTGCATTCCTTTTTTTACCAGTGCAATAATCTCGTGAAATCTTTATGTAGTTTCATACTTCGAGACAATATACTCCAAAGCTATCCCCAAAACTGCTCAACATTGCAGATGATTCATTTTTAAACTACATTACAATATATTGTCAATAACTTTGAAGTGCTGTGTACTAAAGTGATATATTGATGTTGTATTTCGGATATACTACTGCAATATTATAATGCCATTACTTATGATTTCTGCAAATTAAACATCTGTTTCTCACTGCCTCTTGCAGAACTGTGATGAAAGGTTTCAGTACAAATATCAGCTTCGTTCCCACATGAGCATTCACATCGGACACAAGCAGTTTATGTGCCAGTGGTGTGGTAAAGATTTCAACATGAAACAGTACTTTGATGAGCACATGAAAACCCACACTGGTAAGGATGAGTTGTCCCCCCTTCCTCAGTAATCTTTGGCAACATCAAAAAGTACATGGGACCTACTGTGATCAAATATGAGTTGTAATAGTGAGATCAGATTTAATTTGGCAGCATGTAACTTCTTTCTCCCTTTAGTAATAATTTGCTAGTGGAGAAAAAGCATAGTCCCCTGCCCTAGTCCAAATGAGAAGTTGTGAAGAAGTAAGTCAGGACTGAGAAGAATTAAATTTTAAAACATGATGTTAAACTGCCTTTCTGTTTCATTTCTGTTGGGAATGAGATTAAACAAGAAATAAGATTCACAACAAAAGATTGTTGGCATAATCCATGGAGTTCCATACATCAGATGCAGGAACTCCATTCATTATGCTGAGGGGAATGGAGAATGTTATGGTTATGGTAAAAGAGGGTATACATTATTGCGTTATTGAAAAGTAACATTAAAAAGTAAAACATTCCTAGTAAAAGTTAATTAAGTTGTAAATAGATGTGGGAATACTGAGATGGGACAAGGGGAAGCCAAATACATATGTTTGGAAAAATAAAGACAGAAGATAATTCAAGAGGATACTGAGAGCTTTTTCAGATAGAAAAACTTCTTCCAGAAATCATGAAGAATTGCTGTCAGACTGAATTTTAAATACTGTAATTGGGCTGCTGACATAATTACTTCTGCGGCAATTATATTGAGTCCAGAAGTCAAGGCTAGGTTGTAAGTAATTGAGAGAAGAAGTTTTGGAAGAGAACTTGGTTCAGAAAGTGTTGAAAGTATAAACCAGAAATTCAATGTAAAATCTGGAAGGTAAATGTCACTGATTAGACATGAAGACTTCTTATAAATTTGTTATCCTGATGAAAAGGAATCCAATTGATTGAAATGAGAAACCGAAATTAGTAGAGAATAGAATCAGGGAGCAGGGTAAGACATTAGTGTGGTCACTTTAGCCTGTGAGGGATAGGAAGAGAAAATTTAGGGACATAGAGAAGAAAAGAAATGAAAAGTTGGTGTGGATAGCTTTGATTTTGTATCTTTAAACAAGAAGGTAGAAATGTTGAGATATAATGTGTGGTATCTCGGATTAAAACATTTCAAGGATTCATATAGTAGTGTAGTAATGTTGGTTAGTTCAAGGAGTAACAGATTATTCTATTGCTCTTGGATACTCTAGTATTCATTTATCTTGATTTTTCTGTATGTTATTTGTAAGTCCTTGATAGTAGACCTACTCAGTTTGTTTTTATTGCAGTTGTATAAATAGAAATGACTGAATCTGATTGAGGGGATCTTAACACATGAGAGAATAGCATCTGATGAGTTCAATCTTTAATTGTTAATAGGAGAGAAACCTTTCATCTGTGAAATCTGTGGCAAAAGCTTCACCAGTCGTCCCAACATGAAGAGACACCGCAGAACTCACACAGGGGAGAAGCCATATCCTTGCGACGTGTGTGGCCAGCGGTTTCGCTTTTCCAACATGCTTAAGGCACACAAGGAGAAGTGCTTCCGTGTTACCAGTCCTGTTAACGTGCTGCCTGCTGCCCAGATACCACTTGCCACCACCTCTCCTGCTCCCAGTTTACCTTCTGTTGTGAACACAGTAAATGCCCCTGCTCCGACTCCACCGATGAATATGAACCCAGTGGGCACACTTTCCCCCCGTCCCATTGGCCATCCTTATCCTTCTCACTTGCATCTCCATCCCCACCATCCCCATCACCTTCCAGTTCCTGTTCCCCCTGTCTCACACTTACCTCCACCTCCTGCTCTGTTTAAGAGTGAGCCTTTAAATCATAGGGGCCAAGGCGAGGACAGTTTTCTGCGACACCTAGCAGAAAAGAACAGTTCAGTACAGCACCACTAACTCTTGTCTTCTATCAGCCATTGTCTTGGTCTTGCGGACTTGGAAGCGTGCTCCCCGCCAAGAAATCTTGTGGTTTCTTTTGAAGCCCCAGTGTAAGAGCTTTGCATTAATTCCGGCTGTCTGGAAAAGTGGTTATCAAGCCCAAGGGGAACTGATAGGAGAGAAGCCCAGTTTGGCTTGCACGTTTTACTGTTGACTTTTATAGATTTCGAAATGACTGACACTTGTGGAATTTTTTTATAATTTCATATCAGCTGATGAGGTATGCTTGCTTTTATATCCTGGATTTTCTCCTCAAAGAGGAGATGACCCTGGTTTCCTTTGTACTAATCAAAAAGACTGTGAGACTAAATTCCAGAGCATTAATTATCACTGTGTATCATTAATTTTTTCCTGCTTTCTGTGTGTGTGAGAGAGAGAGAGAGAGAGAGAGAGCGTGTGGGTGCGGGTGGATGGGCATGCTGGCTGTGGAGTGAGCTAGCCACATCATCACAGAATATCAAGCATTATAGCAAAAAGACAGTAAACAAAACTTAATCTCATTTGAGTAGTTCTCCTAACACACTCTTTATTTTAATACAGAAAAAAATTATTTTAGAGTTTTTGTATAGACCTATTTAGTAGCCTGTTTTTAAAATGAAATGTATTTCAAATAAGCGGTGTAATTTTTTTCAGTGTAGCTGGACCTATGTTGTTACAATAGATAATTTTTATAATCATTCAAATGTGATTCTTTAAGGAAAAAAGATGCAAATAACTTCTATGGTTAAAATTATTCTTCCATCTTTACTACTCTTAAAAGGTGCTTTGAAGGGCAAGGAAAAGAATGCAAGAAGTCTCTGGTCAGGCTGCCTCAAAATTTTATATAACTTATTCACAGGGAGGGTCTCTTAATAGGACTATTGTCTTCTTTCAGTGTCATGGGGTGGGTTTGGGGGTGTTTATTACATAAGGACATTAAACTGCTGTATTCCAACAAATGCTTTTCACTCAGCTCTGCTGGACTGAGGTGTGAAATGTTTTAGAATGAACATACTTTAATGAGGGGGAGATTTGGAAGCTGCGAGGGAGAAAGAGAGAGTCTTAAACAGAAGTGGCATTTTCAGATTAATGTGCTATCATTTCTTGGCATACATTAGATCCTAGTTCATGATATAGAAGTGTGTATAAGGGGTGACTTAATTTGGGGATCATATTTGATGCTGCTTGTTTTTTTCTTGAGTTAATTGAGCGATACGTGGAAGCCAGGATAAAGTGTTGTTTGGCAAGAGTTGTAAAATAAAAATAAAATGGGATTTGGGGGGAAGGCAGTTGTCATGTTGGCTGAAAAATGTTTTCCACAGAGTATATGCACAGATTGAAGCTGTGTCCTGTATAGTTGATTATTCATATTATATAGGATAACTTCTTTCAGATTTGACTTCAGGTTTCTCAAGAGAGCAGAAAAGAAATGTTTGAATGTTAAGCAAGTTTCCAGTTGTGTTTTCTCAGTCTCCAGTGGCACTAAATTGTGGCAAACTAGTTAGAATGCAGAGAATTATGGGTCTTATTCAGATGTAGTTAATGGACATTGAAATACAGCACCATTTGAGCAGCTGAATAGCTGTAGGCACCTTGAGGAGAAGACAGAGATACCCACCCAATTAAGGAGTTTAATTTTCCCTTAGCTTAATTCCACCACCCAAAGACCATCATGCTGATCTCTAGAATGGAGTTCTCGTTCTAAAAATTAGACTTTACACCTAATTCAGGGAGGGATATTGTATCAAAGAAAATGGAAAGCCCTCATCATTGTACACATGAGATTGCTGATTTTGTTTCAACCATTGATTAACTTTGATTTTGCATTAAAAATAGTATTAGGCCATTTTGATACCTATTCATATTTGAATGAAAATCTATTAACCCCACTCTTTCTTTCTGAAAAATGAGTATTTTAAAGATGTAATGACATTTATCTGTTCCTTCTCTTTTGTAGGTAGTAAATCTAGCTATAAAAGTGAATCTTTAATATTTAACGGTTTGCCATCTTCTACTACCCTGGATGGTTTTATACATTCCATGTCATGTTTGCAAATCCACAATTCTGTGTAGATATGCTACAGGACAGCAGTCTGCCCTGTTAAATCTACTTTTATAAATTTAAAGGATAAGAAAAAAAACCACCTTGATAAATCTGTTGTAATCCAATTTTGCAAAAAAAAGATTTCTCAATAAATTTACAGTATTTGGCTGCTATTTATGAATCCTACTACTTGAGATGGGTGTGCTTTTTCCTTCCCCCTAGAAAATGGGCTGTTTTTGAAAAATTGAGATGATTTTACACACTTCAGAAATGTATTTTCCTATGCATAGGTAAAGTTGGACAAGCCAAAGGTGGGTGGGGTAGTGCAGATTATTTCACAGTTGTATCACTTTGCACTGGCTAAGCCTTTTGTGATAGAGGTCAACACCCCTCAACGCACATGGTTTGCATGTTACAGAGAAAAACTATACATGGATTTAATGTCTGATTTTAACATTTATCATACAGTAGTTTAAACCCGGTAGTTAGATCCATTGGTAATGATGGAAATTTGGTAATTTGATACTTATGAAAATTCTGCTGCTTCAGTGTACCTACACATTTTGATTTGGACTAATAATCCAAAGCAAGCACACAACTGTATGAGCAGATTTGGCCTATCCTCTGTATTGAGTGCCATTCTCTTTCATGGCCATTCCAGACAAGTCCTATATCTTAGGATTTGATCCCAGGTTTATCCCAGATTATCTAGCAGTAGAGACTCATAATCCAGTTTAATGCAGAAAACCTGGAATCAGATCCTGGGATATAGGGCCTGTCTGAAAGGGCCCTGACAACATTGGAGAAAGGATGATGTCCATGCATCATCCTAATGGCACGATGATGCATGGATATACACTATGTTCATTATGCCCGTGGTTTCCAGATTGTTATGTGTTTACTTGGAGTTTAATCCTAAAACTCAGGAAACATTGAAGTCCTTTCCCTTCAGAGTTTTCCAAGGGTGATTTCTTACAATGAGTTATTTCTCCTATTTGCATGGCTAGGAGGACAATGTTCATGGTAGAGGCACCAGGGGGAGCCACCCATGAATAGCTCAGTCTCATTCCTGCATCTCTTTTTCACCTTAAGAAAACATAGTTTAATGCTTTCTTAGTTGTTTCTGTTATCTTTTGTTTTCTTCCTGCTTTCTCAGCAACTAGTATTTCAGCTCATAAGGAAGATATAGCCTAGGGATGTCTGGGAATCCCCCCCCCCCCCGGATACACCCCAATTTCCGGTTTTCAGCAGTCAGCTTTGACATGGGAATCTGCATTGAAATGGCATGGGAAATGTTGCTGTCAGAGGGTGAGATCTCCCCATTAGTGATCAATGTATTTGGTGCTGCAGTTACCAGGGTAACATGGCCACATCTCCAATTCTAGATTATTGTTTTTTTAGATTCAAGATAGGATGAGTGCACCTTGACTTTCTGTCCCAGCGATGATGGGACAGATGATCCAGACTTCTGCAGCTGGATCCATATGATCACAGACCAAGAGGTAGTGGCTTCCTTTGGTAGTCTTGCTACTTCCTGTTTGCCTATCCCTGCCACTGAGGGACAATGATTTTGTACTTCCCAGAGTATCCACCATCCCTCAATATTGTGTTTCCCAGAAATCCTTTTCTCTTCCCCTTCTCCCAATGGAGGGATCCACTATTCCTTGTTTTAGGCATGGGAGCTTCAAACCAAAATGGTATTAGTGTAACCTCCATTTTAGAAAAATGGGAAAAGGCAGGTTCTTTTGTGGTGGCATCAATTTTGTGCCACAAAATCTTTCAGGACAATTTTAAATTACATAAATTACAAATTGCCAAAAGTGGCTACTTTCTTGGCTGATGTTACTCAGTTTAGTACAAGAGCTCAAGGGGCAGCTGTCTCTGAATGCCAGGTTTAGCTAAGTGTCCATTCTAAGCAAAACATCACCTCTCTGTTCGGGGACAGTAACCTCCTCAGGGAAGCTCTTGAACATATTTTCATAGACATTAAGGATAAAATGAAGATGCAAATGTACTGTCAGAAGAAGCAGAACAGAAGAATTTTCTACTCAGGGCTGTCTTCTTTTCATCCCTACAGGAACAATTACAGCTTATTTTGGTCATAGTGCTGCTATGTCTGTTGCTCTAGCTACAAATGCTCCACTAGTAGAAATTTGTAGAGCTGTTCCTTGGTCTTCACCATCCATATTTGTGTACTATTTCCATTTGGATGCCTTCATCTCTGTGTAGACCTCCCTTGACAGAGCAGATAGTGTCTACTTAGGGGTACTTCATCTTTACCCACCAAATTGTTGGGAGCTTTGCTTTCTCTCATGGTAGAAGGTCTCCCTTCCACTGCTGGAAAAAGGGACTTTGGTCTTAACTGTGAGATGTCCATTTTCAACAGAGGATGAGGAAGCCTTCTCCAGGAACTGAACTGCTTTCTTAATACTGGTACGGAAAGGCACAGAGTTTGTACTTGCAGGATTTTATTCTCTCTCCCTGCTTCTTTCACCTGCCTTCTATGTTATCTAGTTTCTTGTCTATGGCTGCTGTGCTAATGAGTTATTCATGGGTCACATCTTCTGCTGGCTGCTACTGCAAACTTTGCCCTACCTTTCAGGGCACACAGGAGGAAAAAATCATTGTAGGAGATTTCCTCAGACACTACTGAAAATGAACATTTCACAGGTAAACCCAATGTTCCAGTGCTGAATCCAGTCAAATGATATCTACATTGATCAGTCCTATGAAAAAGATGCAGCTGATAGCTATGTCAGCACTTTGAAGAAATGGCACAATAAACCAGTTCTGAGCATGTTGTCGCAAGTTCTTTCAGAAGGCAATGAAAAGTGGACTTTGTCAAACAGAAGAGCTCATTTCCTTTCCATGTTTTAACCAATGGCAGCACTGGATCTAACAGAGGCAAGTACAACTAGTTTCTTTCTGATACAAATTGATAATACGTTTTGGAAAACATCACAGTCTGCTTCCATTATATCACTACTTGGGTAGACTTGGAATGAGTGCTCTACTATGCTTTGCAGTTCATAGATCCCTAACAACATAATAAAGCTCAGATGCTTGTTGGTCTACTTCACATGGAATACAGTTTTGTTTTATTATGTTAATGTTGCAAACAGAAGTTTTCATCAGATTGCAAATACCCATGTAAGTGTTAATCTGATTTCATAGCACCTGTATGTCAGAATGGCATTTACATTAGTCTGCCAAAGTGTGGCTATGTTATTGTGACGAACCAAAGTGCCCAATTGCTCCTTGACAAAAATCTATAAAATTGTGATTTAAGAAAAAATGCTGT